GGGGCCCTGCTTTTCGCTGCTCGCTTGGGATTCTGCCTCACAGCCCCGTCTCCCCTGCCGGAGCCTGGGTCCCCAGGGTCTGGCTCATAACTGGGGGGTCAGCGCTGCCATTTCGGGGGTTCAGCCCAGGCTGGGGGTTTTATTTCCTTCCTGCTAGGGAACGCCAGGCAGCACCCAGCCCTCTCCTCCTCTCCGGCTGCGACCTCTCCGTGCGCAGCATGTCTCCGTACCTTAGGCTTTTTTTCAGCTCCTCTGATTTTCCTTCTGGTTTTCTCTTTCCTTCTTGTTGTAGAATTTTCAGTCAGTCGACTACCTGTAGCTCTGGGCGATGTCCACTCTACATTTTAGTTGTATTCCATTGAAATTGTTGTGTGCTGCTGCGGTTAGGTGTCTACCCGAGCAGCCATCTTGGATCCTCTTAATAACTTTTAATTTTATTATTTTGCATAGAAATATGACTGCTTTGGACTCATTGCATGTTAACAAATTCACTATGAGATGAAATATCAATAAAAATTTTAGTTAATACTTTAGGAACAGTTTTTTTTTTCCAGTATAACTAAATTCTCTTGAATATTTATTTATTTCAATTAGCCAATTTCAAATAATTCGGGAAAAAGGCTTATAAGTTTTAACTTTATTTGTCCTAGTTTATGGACAATAAATGACATTAACTAAAATTTTGTAATTAGTCTTTGAGTAACTTAACATTAACTTTGTCAGGGAGGCAAAAACCCAAATTACTCACTTCAGTTTAAGAGATAAATATATGCACTTCTAATTACAGTTCTTCAGATATTTGAGGAAAACTTTTCTCTATTTTCTTCCAGAACACTTTTCAGGTACAGAGCGTTTCACTTAAGAACCTTTGTTTTCCTTTAGAGCAAGCAGCCTATAGGGCTGTTGCTTGAACTTTACAATAAGGGTGACTACTATTTTATGTCAGATTTAATACTTTAGCAATCTTCAGTTTACATTGCAAATACTCAGGGAAGAGATTTCAAATTTTTCCCATTTCTTCTTTCTATTAAATTTAGAATTATAAGACTGGGAAGAGTGCGATGAGGAGCGGGAGCCGCTGCAGCGGCTGCCACCAGGCGCTGGCAGGGAGCCGGGTGACAGGGCCCCGGGCGGGGAGGTGCCCCTGGGCCCGTGACCGCTGATCGCTGGCCATGGAGCTGAGGCCGGGGGCTGCTTCCTGCGTGGCGCCGACCCCCGGCAACAGGCTGAAGCCGCACAGGAGGCCTCAGAGAACAAAGGGGTGCCGTGGGCCAGCCTGCTGAGCTTCCAGAATGAGGAGGAAGAAACCAAAGAAGTTTTCAATGTGAAGAAATCAAGTTAAAGCAAAAAGATAGTAAAATTACTTAAGAAAGAATACAAAGAAGATGTTGAAATATTGAAGATTAAGACAGAACTCAACTCATCAGCCAACATTGCAACATAAATGCATTAAAAAAAAAAATAGACAATGTTGGAGCGGTGGCGGCCAGGCCCAGGGCAGTGGCAGCCGGACCCGGAGCAGCAGCAGCCAGGCCCGGAGTGGCAGCAAGCCATGGAGCAGCCGGGCTCAGAGCAGCAAAGGCCAGGCCTAGAGCAGCTGGGCGCCGAGTGGCGGCAGCAGGACCCGGAGCAGCTGGGTTGGGAGCGGCCAGGTCAGGAGCAGCCAGGCCCAGAGCAGCAGCAGCCAGGCCTGAAGCAGCCGGGCCTGGAGCAGCAGCAGCCAGGCCTGAAGCAGCTGGGCCTGGAGCGGCGGCAGACAGACCTGGAGCAGCTGGGTGCAGAGCAGCCGGCCCGGAGCAACAGAGGATAGACCTGGAGCAACAGCGTCCAGGCCCGGAACAGCTCGCTCCTCGCCTGCCCCCGCCCCAGGGCTGCCTCTCAGACATGGCTGGAAACTTTTGGGGGAACTTGAGGGTCTGCTGAATCAAGTGATGGAGGCTTAGATCTGGATGTGTTGAGTTGTCGTAGCGCTGGGGTGTTGATCTGTGAGTGCCTTGTGTGGGTTCTGGATGAGGTTGGTTGATCTATTTGGATGTGTCTTTTGTTTGAAGTGTATCCTTGGGCATGTGGAGGTATTATTGATTTGAGAAAATACTAATTGATTTGCTACCTGAAAAATTTAAAGTTCTGAAAGTTTAAGGTCTCTTGCCAAAAAGATTTTAAAGCTAACACCTTAATTTTAATGGAGAAAGGGGAGGACAAGCCCTTCCCACCCAGAACAGGTAATCCAATTCCAGCCAGCAGCTATCTTTAAACAATGTGTTCATTTACATTTGAATGGCTACGCCTTTTGATAGCCCAAGGGCAAGTTTACATATAAACAAGTTTGCTTCTCAGTTCCCAGGGCAGAAAAAACAAGGTTTAAAATTATTAGATTTTAAAATTTATTCTTAAAAAATATAAAAGTTTATTAAGTACAATAAAAAAAAACAAGGAAATTAAAAAACCCGATGAACAATATTAACTGTTGATTATAATAGAATCAGAGATACGGGAGGGGAGGGGACTGAATTTTCAGGGAAAAGGGGAGTGGTGGGTGTGGGAAGAGACTGAACATAAACTGTACCTATGGATGAGGACAATGGGGGGTAGGGAGAAGGGCAGAGAGTGGGATGGGAACCTGGTGGAGGGGGGGAAAATGAGGAACTTTTGTAATAATATGAACAATAAAGATTGATTTAAAAAATAAACAAAAAACCTTTGTCATCCTTTAGAACACATGTGTCAAACACAAGGCCCGCGGGCCAAATCCATCCCGCCAGGCCTTGCAAAGTGGCCCACACCGTGCTGTCATCACTGTACTCCGCTGCGTTTCCATCACAATGACAGTTTATGACTGGTCAGTAAACCACTCACGATTTAGGCTGGATTTTAGATTTTGGCCCCTTCTCTGATTGAGCTCCACACCCCTACTTTAGGGCAAGCAGCCTGTAGGGCTGTTGCTTGAACTAGCTATATTACAAGTCACTTTACAATAAGGGTGACTACTATTTTATGTGAGATTTAATACTTTAGCAGTCTTCAGTTTACATTGCAAATACTCAGGGAAGAGATTTCAAATTTTTCCCATTTCTTCTTTCTATTAAATCTAGAATTATATTATCAAAGAGTACACCCTTTGGCTCATTTGCATATACAGAGGGATCATGGGAGGTCTTAATCACTTTTTTAGAAGACTTAATCAGGGGTTGGCCTTTGCTGTTCCAAGATGGCTGCCCCAAGAGGAGCAGCAAGCCATGGGGCCAATATGGTGTCTGCCATGTCAGACAGTCCAATATGATGGCTGTCTAAACTGTTCTTTGACAGAAAAGATCGTTTGTTTATTCTCACAATAAACAAGGGAAGAGCAAACCAAAAAGATAAACACTCAAAATTACATTGCAGACAAACAGAAATCTCACTTGCTGTTTCTGGTGGCTTTATTAGAATTTCATTGTTTATAAAAACATTGCCTTTTCATTTAGCTGAAATTATATGAAACCTTGATTATAATTAAAAAGATAATTTATTAAGTAATTTAAGTAGGTATCTTTTATTGAAAAGGCAAAGCAGAGCAAATAAAGTAAATGTTTACAACTGATTCACAAGGCACAAAGGTCACCCCAGCTCCATCCTAATTAAAAATGCAGGTGGCTAGAGACACTTGTATTTTAAATTTCCTCTTGAAATTTCACCCTGCTATTTGGCTTCTATAAATTAAACCTTCCCCAGACAAGCTTATCAGTGCTCCATATTTGGGAGACAAAGAAGGTAAAATCATATAAATAGGGAGAATTTCTGCATGTTGGGGCCCAGAATTTGAGAGACATTTTCTTCTGGACCCGCACTTAATTACTATCACTCCATCTCTCTGGTATTGCTTTGTTCTTCTTTGGTTTTCTGTAACATTATGAGTCTGTTCCTATAAATCTTCAACCTGCGTCCATGTGTACCCTGTTGGCTATTCCGGAGAACAATGCCTAATACAGCGATTGATTACAGGGAAGCAGTGTGTCTGCTTCCCATCCTGACAGGCTGATTTGAGAACACGTTCTCCAGTCTTGCTCCATAGACAGACAGTAGGTTTAATGGGCATAAGCCAAACCCCCATGGATATGACCTCCCCTGCTCTCCCCGGGTCATATTTTATGTGGTGTAGAAATACCAAGAAAAAGTGTTATGCCCCTGAAAAACTAATATTTTTGTCAAAGGATTTTGGATGAGTTAGCTGGCCCAAAGCTAACTTATTTCCTCTGCCAACAGGCATGGGCTAGGAGGCCCGGCAGCCTGGTTCCTCTGCGGTATGGATGAGCCTTCCGGAAGCTGGGGTCCTGCCTTGTCCCTGAACCCCTCACATTTTCTGAGTCCACCTGTAGAACCATGAGGAACACTCGAGTCCAGGGTCATAGCCAGCAGCCAGGTCCCCTTCACCTCAGGGGTTGGTGGGCCACTTAGCAAGTCCCATTGTATCCACCCACTGAGCAGCCACAGGAGATCAGACAGGCCCAGAAGAAAAGAAAAAAAAGACCTGGAAGGAGAGATAACATGGTGCTGAGCACTGCATCCAAAACACATCCCATCACTCCAGGTTCTGTTCCTGACCCCTCCCCACTTTTATTAATCAGTAACTACAGGGTCCTGAGGTGTAAACGGGAGAGACAGGTGAATACAAGCAAGAGGACTAGGAGGTTGCCTTTGAAATTGTCTTTATTTCTCATCATTCCTTTACAACCCCGGGATTCACTCCCACACAGGAAACTCAAGCCCCAATTCTGCCCCCTCCCCACACAAATGAGATTCATGTTTCTGACTGTAGGACACTTTGCCTTTGAAGTCCCATGAGCTCCCTGTCCTTTGCCCCTGCAGCCCTTTACATTGGCCACGTCTCTCCCTTTCCCCATTCACACTGAGCATGAACCTGAAAGCCCGATCCAAGGTGTCAGCTTCCAAAGGCCCAGCCTTTGCCGTTTGCACCCACTAAAGCAGAGTCCAGACAAGGGAACAGCACGGGCTCCTGGTCATTACAACTCAACGTCATAACACTCCATGTACTCGGTGGCAAGCTGGATGGTCCTGGGCCGTCCTAACTCCCTCAGAATCCCCGTCAGCTCAGCCAGGACCAGGGCAAGGGTCTCCTGGCTGACAGTGTCCTGGGTGGTGTAACACTCCCGGGGGACGGGGTAGCACTCCTCTTCTAAGCTGCGCAGCCCGGCTGTGTGGCGCAGCAGCTTCCCCACGGTGGCCACAGAGAGGCTGTTCTCTATGATGGTGAGCTCGCTCAGCTGGTGGCAGCGGCTCAGCACAGGCAGGATGGCCTCGACTTGGGAGTCCACGATGGCACATTTCTCGAGGTACAGTTTCTGGAGGGTGGGTGCCACTGCCTCCAGCAGAGCTCGAAGGAGCTCAGGAATAAAACCAGTGAGGCTGGCACAATACAGACGCAGGGACTTCAGCTGCCTGAGGTTCGGGCACTGGAACAGGTGTTCCAGGTCTGAATCGGTAAGGCACAGGCAACGACTTACGGTGAGTGTTTCCAAGGGGGCCTGCAGGCACCTGGGGAGACACAGAAAGGTTATTTTCTGGGAATGGGGGTAGCAGGTAGAGGGGTTGCTGAGGGCAACCAATCATCTCTCTATCACTACAAATTTCACTTGCTCTCTCTTCCCTTCCATTCCACTCTCTAAAGATCAATGGGGGAAAATATCCTCCTCTGAGGATTTTTTAAAAAAAAAAAAAAAAGGAGAGAGTAAACCAGAGAAAGATTCTGCAACATCAACTGGGGAGGGCAGTGTGCAGAGGCGATTTTCATCCATACATCACCACAAACCACTGGTCACTCTGCAATCCTTTCCACTCCCGCTTCCTTAGCTGCAGAATCATGCCTGTCCTTTCTACTAATGACCTTCCTGGTACCCAGGACCATCTCTGACAGATGGGGAATCTGAGAGAGGCGCACGTATGTTCACGTGGCTGGTGGGCACAGAGCTCATGTCTGAAAATGCTCCATCTGATGTGGCTCTGCCTCCTCCCAACCGTCTTCCCAACACCTCATCACTTAGACTTCTGTCCCTTCACACACCCAGGCTCGCTGGGTCCCTCACTGAGGCAGTTCTGTCACCCATCTTGACAGGCTGATTTCAAAACATGCTTCCTTTGGGTGCTCATGGGATATCACCCTCAAAGCATCTAACAACACCACTCCCTTTACATTCTAATACTGTGTACAGTGCTAAGCAGCTCACCTGAGCATCTGGTGCAGACGGCCTCGGAGGAAGTAGGGGGCATCCAGGTCCAGCTCGCGGAGGTGCCGTGAGCTGAGCATTTGAGAGAGGAGTTGGGCAAAGGCTGTCTCCCTCTCCTGCTCCTCCCTCTCCCACTCCTCTTCCCAATTCAGTATCTCTTCCTCCTCCCACTCCTGCTCCTCATCCTCCTCCCACTCCTGCTCCTCTTCCTCCTCTTCCTCCTCTTCTTCGTCTTCCTCCTCTTCCTCTTCATGCTTCTCCCAATCCTGCTCCTCTTGCTCCTCTTGCTCCTCTTCCTCCTCGTCCTCCTCCCAATCCTGCTCCTCTTCCTCATTGTCCTCCTCCTCTCTCAACACACGGATGTGGGAGAGAAAGAGTTTCTGGAGGTTCGGCATCTTCCTCATATAAAGAGCAAACGTCTCCATGGTGATCAGGCTCCAGGCGCAGTTCAGTTCCACCTCCTGGATGCAGTCCAGCTGCACCGCATCCAGGACCTTCCTTGCCCTCCGGAAAGGCACCGCAACAATCTTCAGCTTCTTGCAGCACAGGTGTAGCAGCCCTTTCCTCCGCCGGGCCCATTGGATGACGGATGTGACAAACTCATCTGTGTCCCTTTTATTGAAGTCAAGGTCTAGGAACACCTCCACAGGAGCTAAGGGGTGCTCCATGCTGGGACTGGACCTGTGCTCAGTCACTGGACCAGTCAGCCAGTGCTTCTGGGTGCTGTCTCCACACCATATTTTCCAGAAATCGAAACCCAGGTACCTTAAATCCAGCACCCGCAGTTTCCACCTCCTGTGGGGAAAGCAGGTCATTAGCCGAGATTCTTTCGGGTTCACAGGGCATCGGCTGACATGCTGTATGGACAGTGTGTCTCAGTGGTTGAGCATCTACCTGTGGACCAGGAGGTCATAGTTCAATCCCTGTTCAGGATACACGCCTGGTTTGCATGCTCCATGCTTAGGGTGTGGCATTTGTGTGTGTGTGTGTGTGTAGGAGGTTGCCATTCAAAAAATTCTCTCTCATCATTGAGGCTTCTATCTCTCTCTCTACCTTCCTATCTGAAATCAAGGGGGGAAAAATGTGGTTTTTTTTTAAAAAGATCCACTGAATGAGGGCAGGTCAGAATGAGACTAAGCATCTGAGTTGAGGCAATAATCAGACTCTACCATGACCCTGACTTTAACTTTGATTCTCAAGGTCAGCATCTCCCTTGCCCTCCTCTTCCCTCTGCTTTGCTTTGCTCATCTCCTTCCATCCCTCCTGCTCAGCACTTCATGTACCTTTAACTACCACTGGGAGGAGGCAGGGCACATTTTGGACGTGCCTCTGCCCAGTAGGCAGTGCTCCACTCCCCAGTGAGCTCAGCAGTGTGCCAAGGCTTCCTACCCTCACTGGCACCTTCAGAAAACCCGGGTCCCCTTAGGCCCTCCACATGCCCTGACCCCCTTCGTCTCTGGGATGCCCAGGACCCTACCAGGCACCGGGAGCAGCCTTACCTGGGGCGAACCTCCTGGGCAAGCAGAACGTCAAGCCCATCCAGCACGGCTTTGAAGACCTGGACTGGAGGTGGCTCATTCAGACCCCCCAGAGGGAGGACAGTGAAGGGCCAGGCTTGCGTGATCGCCGTCAGGGACGAGCAGCGTCTGCCCCGGAAGGCCAGGGCGAACAGCTGCGGGAAGAGCTCAGCGGGCAGGTGCTCCAGAGCTGCGATGGCCGAGGCCTGGTCCCTCAGCAGGCTCTCTCCTGCCAGCTGCAGGAGTGTGGGTGGGGTCCTGATGCTCATTCTCAAGGTGCTCCAAAGGAATCCTGTGGAAATGTCCAGGGAACAAGGCATCCACCTCAGGCCAAGCCTTTGAGCCCCATCCTCTGACTCCCCATTTTCACGGGAATCAACTCAGGGCCAAAGCCCCCACCTGGCGATGGTTACAGAGGCCCTCCGTTTACAGAGGCCCTCTCTGGGCGAGGTGACCACAGAGCCATGGCTCCCCTGCAGGCCCCAGGTCAAGCATCTCAGAAGCACCCACATTTTTATTTCAATCTGCCTGGGGAGTGGGTACGAAGGGCCAGAAAAGCTGGCCCCCTCCTTTTTTTGGGGAAAAAATTCAGACCAATATATGGACACAAACTTAATATTTGAAAATGTCCAGAAATAAAACCACGGCTAAGATGTTTTCATTAGGGGCTTGGAGGGAGGAGGGGGTGTCAGGGAATCAGCTTGGGTTACACCTTTAAAATAGAGCAAAGCACAAATCCAGATTTTGAAATTCAGGAAAAAACTACACTAAGAGGCAAACTCAATGCCTTCAATCAGGCTGTTAAAACAGCAGAAGAAAAGGGGAAAGGTCTGTGCCAACGTGAGACCAACTGCCTCAGCGGAGGCCCGTAACTTACCTGCTGGGGCTCAGATCTCAGACCTGGTGGAGGGCCAGGGCACTGACTGCAGAGCCGGACGCCTCTAAACCCCTCCTCTGGTGCCTGAGGTTTTTATACAGACCTTCTTAAACACTAGAATCCAATCAGGACCCTCAGTGTCCCACCCTTAATCCTAATGCCATTATTGCCTCCTTTCAGATTAATGGATTGAGAGAAAGTTAGGGAAGGGCAGGGTGGAGGCCTGGCTCATGGATCCCTTCCACAGACACTGACTGAGGTTGACTAATAGTCCGTAGGCTCCTCCTCCGTGTCAGACAGTGAAGGTGCCACGGGTTCCTGGTGTTAAACAGGAAAGAGCAAAACCTGAGAGCATGGTTTCTGGGGGTCTTTGGCCACATCAAAGTTATCAGAACATTGCAGAGTTAAAACATCCTCGAGAAGACACTGGTGCATCCCCAGGAAAACCGGGAAATGTGTCCAGGCATCAGGCTCGGTTTTACAGCAGGTGACATAGCAGATCGTGAGCTCCTCAGGGAGGAAGAGGTTGTGTCTGTCCTAGACCCCGAGGCTTCTCTGAGGGAGGTCAGGTCACAAGGACCGTGAGAGGCAGGGGCAGGGCGGGGCAGGGTGGCGCTGGGCCATCCTAATGGGACCCTGTGAATGACCCAGGGCCATGGAAAAGATGGGGGTTTTCCTTGGAAAAAGGGGAGATGGAAGGACTCTCCTCTGGGTGAATTGAGGACCTAAAAGGAGACGAGCTGGAGGGGAGGCAGTGCCATGCTTGAGGGCGAAGGGTGAGATTCCATCTTCCGTCCCACCCAGGAGGAAAGGGTGGTCTGCTGTGGGGAAGATGGGATTAGCTCCCAGCCTGGGTGGGGGAAGATTAAATCTAAGAATGTGAGCAGCCCTGGGAGTTCGACATTTTCAAGCCCAAAAGGCATTGCGGCTGGATGCTGTGGGCTCTTTGGGCTGTTGGAGCCTGGGACAGAAATAAAAGTCATCCAATCACATGCAACCCTGTCAACATCAAGAAAAAAAACAAGCAAAAAACGGTTTTTAAAAAATATCCACGGAATGAGGGCAGGTCAGAATGAAACTAAGCATCTGAGTTGAAGCAACAACCAGACTCTACCCCCACCCTGACTTGAACTTCGATTCTCAAGGTCAGTATCTCCCTTGCCCTCCTCTTCCCTCACTTTGCTTTGCTCCTCTCCTTCCATCCCTCCTGCTCAGCACTTCATGTACCTTTAACTACCACTGGGAGGAGGCAGGGCACATTTTGGACGTGCCTCTGCCCAGTAGGCAATGCTCCACTCCCCAGTGAGCTCAGCAGTGTGCCAGGGCTCCCTACCCTCACTGGCACCTTCAGAAACCTCAGGTCCCCTTAGGCCCTCCACACGCCCTGACCCCCTTTGTCTCCGGGATGCCCAGGACCCTACCAGGCCCCGGGAGCAGCCTTACCTGGGGCGAGCTTCCTGGGCAAGCAGAACCTTTTTTGGGGGGAAATTTTTAGACCAATATATGGACACAAACTTAATATTTAAAATTTCCAGAAATAAAACCACGATTAAGATGTTTTCATTAGGGGCTTGGTGGGAGGAGGCTTGGTTACACCTTTAAAATAGAACAAAGCTCAAGTCCAAATTTTGAAATTCAAGAAAAACTACACTAAGTGTAAGGTGACCAGATTTTAACATTGATAAAGCGAGACACCATTGATGGGGGGGAGGGGGGGTGTTTGATTAAAAATTTGGTCTATATGGAGCAACAAAAATTTTCATAGAACACAAAAATAGTATTGTAATATATTTTTAAATAAATTTCAACATAAGGACAATTTATAAATATAATAAATTAAAAAATTATGTATAGTCGTGTCAATTTCAAGACCGGTGCTAGACTTTTTGCCGCCACTATAAAATATAACTAATACAAGTACTGTCTGCTAAATTCAAGAAAACTTATGTATTTATGAAATAAATACATAAATTACTTAACCTAAATTATCTGAATAGCTGATTTGTAATGACATCACTTGTTTAACTAGCTTACTAGCTCGCAGTATGATGTGTATCATCTGAGAGACAGTTACAAAATGTTTTCGTCGTTGCCAATCCCCAAAAATGCCATTGTTCATTAAGTCCAAACAATGGTGGTCGAATTCTAACAACTGATCAACAATGCGAACTTTGATAAGCAGTTCTCAATAATCAGTTCTCAACAGTTACTTGTTATTATTAAAGTTTAACATTATAAAATTAACAAAAGTAATATAAAACTCATATCCTGGCTAAATAGCCACTTGGCAGCCGAAAATCCTATATTCCCTTACCATTCTCCTGCATTTCCCTAGCTTGTTGTGCATTCTTTCCAAAATCAGGCCGTTTTTAAAACGCCGCGGGACGCGGGGCAATTTGTTGAAAATCGGGACTGTCCCGCCCAAAGCGGGACGTCTGGTCACCTTAGTGTATTATAGTACCATGAATATTGGAGGGCAGTTGGAAGCATCTGCTGCATGGAAGGTGTAAGGGCACTTGAAACACACACCTACCCTCAAGATGCTTCATTCCAGTGGAAGAACTGACTGTACACACTACCTCTGGTTTAACTTGACTAAAATAACATTTTAACACAAGGGAAAGATATGATTACAATACTGATGTAATTATAAGGACCATAAACTAAATACTAACCCAATGTAGGAAATAATAATTTTTGTCATCTAGTAGTGGGTATCGAATTAGCCACCGCTTTATTTTTAGCTATGTGATATGTCACTCAGCGCACATTCCCTGGAGGGTTGCATTGGCTGACATATGAAAAAGATCTGCAGTGTCATAGGGTTGCCAAGTTCTCATCAAAGATTATCTCCAGCTGGTAATTTGCTTTTTGGTACAAATTGGCATGCCATCTTCCAGTGCCAAAACTCAGCATGATCAAAGAGAGTTGGAGCGGAGGCAGCTCTTCCTCTCCCATTTTCTACATTTCACAGAGCTCTTTGCTCTGAAGAACTCTATTCCAAAACAGTGTTGTTCTCATGGCCTCCCTGGAGTGTTGGCCCAATCTCCAGGCTCTGTCATAGATTATTGATTAAGCTTGAGGGAGAAGAGTATAGTTCTGAACTTCTGAATAGGAAGCAGACAGCCTAAATACTGATCAACAAATTTGGAGCTCTGGCCAGTTTTGCTCAGTGGATGGAGTTGGCCTGCAGACTGAAGAGTCCCAGGTTCGATTCTGGCCAAGGGCACATGCCCGGGTTGTGGGCTCGATCCCCAGTAGGGGGTGTGCAGGAGGCAGCCAATCAATGATTCTCTTGAATTATTGATGTTTCTATCTATCTCTCCCTCTTCCTTCCTCTCTGAAACCAATAAAGAAATATATATATATATATATATATATATATATATATATATATATATATTAATTTGGAAAAGAATCAAGAGAAACTTGCCTCATTTTGCTACTTCCATAAAAACAAAGCTTAGTGTCCTCCAATTCTGACCCCAGTTTCTGGAATTGTTTGGATAAATATAAACTCTTAAATGTGGAGAAGAAAATGAGGTGCTCTTAAAGCTGATATTCCTGGATAAGACATAAGACAGAGGAGGTGGCCATGTCCATGTGATGCAGCAGATAATGAGATAGCTTTTCATGTTTTTATTGATTTCAGAGAGAGAAAGGGGGAGAAAGAAATAGGAACATCAATGATGAGAATCATCAATCAGCTGCCTCCTGCACGGCCCCTACTGAAGCACATGCCCTGAGCAGGAACTGAACTGTGATCATCTGGTTCATGGGTCAACTCTCAACCACTGAGCCACACAGGCCAGGCTATTGAGATGGCTTTTGTTGTTGTTGTTAATCCTCACCCGAGATATTTTTTCCATTGATTTTTTTTCTTTTTTCTTTTTTAGAGAGAGTGGAAGGGAGAGGGAAAGAAACACAGAGAGAAACAACGATGTGAGAGAGACTCCAATTGTTTGCCTCCCACATGCACCCTGACTGGGGTGGGGATTGAGCCTGCAACCAAGGTATGTGCCCTTAACCAGAATGAAACCCGCAACCGTTCAGTCCATGGGCCGATGCTCTGACCACTGAGCCAAACCTTCTAGGTCTGGAGATGGCTTTTTAAAAAAGCTTTGGGACCTAGAGAGGAGGAGCTGGGGTGAGGATGGGGTGAAAGTGGCAGCTGCAATTAGATATCAAAAGGCAGTCTTTCTTTACACAATAAGACTGTCTTTTCAGCCATTCCACACACTTGGGTAGCAAGCACCATCAGTAGTATCAGCTTCCAACAGGAAGAGTGATGGAATCCTTTCATAGCTTCACACATACATACATCCTTTTCTGTGAGGGAAAAACCTGTGTAGAGGGCATAGCACTGCCTGGCATATGATAGCAGGTTCTCAACAAGTGAGAACCATTGTCATTGTTATTATCTAAATGAAGGGCACCACAAAACCTCTTTCTCCTGACCTGCAAATCCAACTCTGAG